TTTATTTATTTATTTATTTATTTATTTATTTATTTATTTATTTATTTCAGGGAACTAGGACCCATAGATACATACCTTACAGACTAACATACATATAATATAACAATAATATAATAAAACAATAACAGAAATATTAAATAAATACCTTGCGGACTAATCATAAATACAATATAACATGATAATATACATATAACACTATTTATTTACACGTATGTACTTCGACGTGTGACGCAACGTGAGTGTCCGGTAGCCGTCCTCGGAAACGCCGGTATATGACACCCTTCGGCCAAAAGTCTTCTCTCATGAAGGTCGACAGGTGTTGAGTTGGTACTCGCACCACAAATGAACTAAAATTCACGTTGTGGCGCGACTCCAACCGCTCGACCCTCAGGTTTGCATTGGCCTTCACTCGCATGTACTCCACAATATCCGCAGACTTGGTGGAGTAATGAAGACGCGACACGTATAACAACGTCGTCGGTACCGCTGGACGCAATAAATGATTCGGGCCAGTCAGGGCGGTGCCACTAAGGTTTCGGCTGATGTTCTTCTTGCTTGTTTGATGTTGTAATGCTTGCATTAATCTGCTTGGCGGCAGAACCCTTTCACAAAGAGTTCTAATGCTTCTAAAACGTACGATCACACATATTTTTATCATACCAGGGGTAGGATTCGTCATATCAAATTATTATGGTCCTTCGAGTCGTATAGGTGTCTTTTTTTTTTTATATATATATAATAGACACACGCGAAGCTTTTTATTAAATTATTAATTGCAAAGGAATACAATACTCACCAAAAGTGGAGGCATGGGGACAATCCGGCCTCTGACAGTATACGTTAGCGCGATATTGTTGGAAGTCTCCGCCCATAAGAGTGTCCAATCTGTAAAAGAAACAAAGACCGTCAAACACGAAAACTGTATAATCAAGACCACTGTCATACCAAATAAATAAATATATATCAGATCAGATCATCACATATGTTGCTCTTATCTCGATAAGTAATTAAAGCACTCGTGTTATGGAAATCACCATTATCTGGAAATCACAAACACTTAGCCCCAAAACAATATAGAAAAGTTAGTTTGCTACATTGACCCGGACGAGAGAACCCAGGACCTCAGAGATGGCGACACCATGAAAATCGGTGTGCAAGCCACTCGACCACGCAGGTAGTCTAAATTACCTGATTTCACATTTCAAGTTGGTTATGCTAGAAATAATATTGTAAAGTCATTATACGATTATCACTAATTCTAACAATAAAGTTTTAACTTCAGTTTCACGTGTGGATACAGTGGGCTTGGTTTGCTGGAAAAAGTGAAAGACAATGGTAACGCAACGCAACAAGTAATGGAAATAAAGGTCGACAGCGAAATAGGGTAGATAGGTATGTCTATTCTTAAAGCTGTCATTTTGCCGCAGTGGGTTGGCACCCATGACCATGGAGCATGTTAATGTTTCCGAAATATCGGGAAAATAAAAAGAAATCAAGGAATGCAACCTGTAATTAGTGACAATCAATTTTGAAAAGTTAATTTGGTAAAAGGAATACTTAAAGAAATTTTTCTTACCTTTCGTGTCTCGCTGTGTGTTGCACGAATCTAGTTTTGTCACAAAAGGAGTATCCACAGTCTTTCCTAGTGCAGTGGAAATGGGTTTGGTGTTCTCTGTAAATAGAAAATATAGGCGTATCATTCTATGATCAAATACTTTCAGTGTCACAAGTGTCTTGGAAACTACTTTGATGCTGTTAGCACTGGGTCCACAAGAGTCGATTTTAAACACATTTTTATTTCTTCTCATTCATTTCTTTAAGGGTCCTTTTTAACAGCTTTCATATTTCCTAAAGTAATTCTTTTCCTTTCTTCCTTCCTACCTTTCTGTTTTTTAAACGTTGCTTTTGTTGTTAGTAGAAGTAGGAGCTTCTTGTGAAAGTACTGTTACAACACCTATGTTCGACACAAAGCAGTTCCTAATGTGAACGTTACTGCGTTTCTAGTTTAAATGGTAAGAGAGCTCGTGATACTGGTGCCTGGTGGCACATAGAACTTATATATGTCTGGTTTATATTTCAGGGTGACGGATGCAGTGGCAGTGCCCCTCAGGGGGCCTACCACAACCATTAAAACAATATTATTCTAACTTTACATTGACTTTTCGTACCATAACGCGCTTAAAGTAAGCTTATTGTAATGTTAAAACTATGGTGTTTTATTGGCAGCTTTGGACTATTCATTCACTCAGTTCGTACTATGACGCGACTTCAACTTTAAAGTACCTAATATTGCCCTTATGTCAAATTTAGTAATCGTATAATAGTTGCAATGGAAACAATATTATTTTCAGTTTTGTTGTCTTAATATTGATTTGTAATGATTAAGAGTTAAGTTGAACTTATTTATTTACATATCTCTTCAGTATTTTGTTTATTTTTTATTTATTAGCACATAGTAAATATTTTTTCGTTAAATAAAAATACGCGATGTTTATTTCGTAAAATTATAACAGCGCCATCTATATGCTCCTTGGCGAAACTAACAATTGACATTAGACTATAGTTCCTAATTCACTACGTGACTATCAAGACTCAGCTTGTTTTATTTATTTTTCTTCAATAAAATGCGGAATAATTATTGAAAACAACGTAATTTTATTAGATTTTATTATTACATACTTTTCTTTTTTAACAGTCAAAATTTGAATTCCATTAAGTACTTAAACATTATACTACGACAAGACGATTCGGAATATCAAAAATGAAAGAGATGGCGTCCACATAACGTTATCTCTTTTCTATTTTTAGTGAGGAATAGACAATATTGGGAAATCATTCGTTCTTTCCATTGACTTACAACTTGTTCTTTCAATCACTTTTGCAATAATACATTACTTGGTTGACAGGTTCGTTATGGTACGAATATGAGTAATATTATAATAAGCTTACATTGAAATAAGATTGTTTTTGGAAAGGTTATGGTAGGCCCCCAGGCCTTTGCTTAATTGCGACTTAAAGCTCTGATTGGCACTCCAACTATTATAGGAAGTCTCATCGCTTACCATCAGGCGAAGGACCTGTTGGACCCGAAACTTGATACACTTGATTTAGTACAGTTTACATCGCAGCATTCTAAACAGGAGTCAGTTGTTAATCTCTATCACTAAAAAGTGGTTCTAAAATAACAGATTTCAACAAAGTGTTTTGAAGTATAAAGAGGAGACGTTCATAGCAAAGAGAATTAGATCCTTACCTATAACCACAGTGTTGGTAAGCGCAGTCTTCGTTGAACCTGAAGCGAAGATAACCTTCAGGAATGGGCTCGTCCTTCATCACGCGCATGTGGGGCCCCCGCGTTGAATGCGTGCGCCTTCTGCAGTAAAAGTGAGAATTAGTATTGAACAAGTTTGGTCATATTTTATTTTCAGGTCTTAATTTGGTTCTCTTGAAGTTACGATAATAGTATTGTAGACAAAACTATGGAATTTGGCTATACGCCACGTCCATCTTGCAGCAAAAATGACAATGGGGGGTCACATAGGCCGCAGAACCGATGACTGGCCGAGTAGAAGAGTGCTGGAGTGGAGACTGAACAGTGGGTGACTAAAGGCTGAACAAGAACTAGATCCTGCAGCAGTTTTGTCAAATACGTTTTGTGGTGGTATAACAAAGCGAGTAAATAAAAGTCTACTTACGATTTGGCGATCATTTCGGCCTCTTTATCTAGACCCGGTGGTAGACCATGTCCTTGGAGAAGACTTTGTTCCAGAAGCAGTTCTGGTGGGTACAGCATGGTGGGATACAAGGGGAAAGCGGAACCGCTGAAATTTAAAAAGAACGGATTTATTTTAATAAGATCTTGAGTATCTTCCTTTGGCTTTAAAAAACTTAAAATAGGCCTAAAAATTAAATTCCACGGTTGACAAATGTTTCAACCGATGAGACAGAAATGACTGAATGGTTACCGAGTGCTTGAAGATAAATAGATTATTAGGTCAGATAGAAATGGAATAATCAGTCGACTAAATGATATTAAGATGATATGAGGCAGTGAAAAATTTAAAATTCTTACCCTTGCGAGAAAAGAGCCACCTGCGCCAGTCCTGGAAGACCGGCCAACGAGGCGGTGTATTGCTGCTGCATCTTTAGCTGATCCTGGAGGCTACCTTTGCGTCCACCTGCTAGGTACTGCTGGAGAAGTAGACTTTGGACTGCTTGTACCTAAGAAGAAACATAAACCATTACTATCCCCACAATACTTTCTATAATATCCACGTTATCTTTAATGGTTTAGGTAAAACACGAGGAAACTTGTGTGTCGTAGAAAATTAATTATGTTTTCAGTCTTCACTTAATAACCTCCCTTAAAATGTATCTCTATACGCCTCCTAAAATGAATCGTTATATTTCATAAGAATATTGTAAGGTGTGCTGTTTAATATCACCATAGACTTAAACAAATAAGGTTTAGAGGTATTAGAATAAATTGATTTTACGTACTTGTTCAGCAGGATTCGGTGGTCTCTGGCTCGGCGATGGAGCCTGACTGGTGGAAGCTGATGATGCAGTAGATGGCAGTATCGAGATTTCGGGATATTCCCTCTCCAACGTCTCCTGTTACAACGGAACACTGTTATATTGACAAGAACGAACTTAAAATCTAAACAATTTTGGAACTAAATTCAAAAGACAAGATAGAAACAAGCGGCAGACTGTAATTACCAGCAAATCTCATTTCAGGGCAAGGTTTTTTTACACCTTTGTGATTAAAAAGCACGCAAATAATAATCTAAGAATTTTGGTAAAATTTTATCACACTCACCTTAGTAGCGGCTAATCCAATTGGTCCAGTGTCCATAGCATTGCTATGCTTCTTCACCATGTGGCTAAATAAGAGCTTCAGGTCCACATAAGCCTGACTGCAGTGTGGGCAGTGGTAATGAAGATTCATTCCCCCAGCATTCTTGTTCAACGGACAAGTCTGGTCATGACAGGACGGTGGGATCGTAGGACCAGATGTCTTCGGAAGGTCATAAATTTTCTTGTCAAAGTCCATTCGAGGTTTCATATCCTTCGAAGGCGAAGCGTCGTAAATGCTCCGGGGGGATGGTGATGATGTATTGCTTCTGAGATGAGACGATGGGTAAAACGTCCCCGTCGCTTTTACTACTGAAATGAAGAATTCGTTGGATCAAAATATCAAGGAGTACCTGACCAGATAAATTACAAACACGATGTAAGTAGACTAAAGATGTAGAAGAAAAGAAAACTCACCCGAAACACTGTCTTGTTCGCGATCAAATTCACTCTTAATCGAGAAATTTGTCGGTGTATATGATTCGTTAGGTTCCTTTAATGAACTTATACTGTCAGCTGATGCTCTTTCCTTAAGAGAGTAGTCTTTGGCTTCCTCAAAGGACCTCTCTTGGTCTTCACTCTTAATCACCGGGGTGCCCCTTCCATGTTTGTGTGTTGCTAAGGCAGAATACTGTGTCAAAATTGCTGGACAACTATTCCCTTGCGCACAATGGAAGTGGGCCCTTAACTGGTTCTTAAAGCAACTCTTTCCTCCACATTGATCGAAAGATGAGAAGTAATCAAACCCTTCTACAAGAGGGCTTATTGAATGTGACTCTCGCATGTGAGTTTCCATGATAATGTGAGTTTCTCCAGAAAAGCTGCAGTTGAAGCAATGAAGATGCAGTCTAGTCATTCTCAATTGACAGTTCGGGTAAGACTGACAGCAGGCATCAGGAGTCGTGAACACTTCAAAGTGCTGGAACTTGATACGCTGTGGAATAATTAATTGAGTTTTAGTGGCAGTTTGTAACAAACACTTGGACAGCTCTATTGTGATGTTACTTACCGGGAATTCTTCTACCGTTGTGATCACAGGGGCTGGTATAACAGGTGGGAGTTGGTTACTTTTCGGTAGTTTAAAAGACGTAAATATAGCTTGAGGAGTGACCTGAAAAAGAAAACAAATTGTTTCAAAATACATACAATACAAGGCAGTATAAAGCTTGTTACCCTGATACATGGTATAATTACTTACATTGTCAGTCCAAACTTCTACTACACGATTCTTCGGTGGTCTTCCTCTCTTCCTACTAAACATTTCGTCTAAAGAACTTGATGGGTTTATTTGTTGAGGAACAACTCCAGAATTTGGACCAAGATTCAGTTGAGCTTGAAGATTTGGATTCAATTGAGAAGCTAAGTTTGGAGTCATTTGAGCTAATTGTGCCAAGTTTGGCGGGAGGTTTGGTAAATTTGGAACTTGACCGAGCTGAGCTGCCATATTGGGGTGAAGTTGAGCTGAGAGTTGAGGCGTAAAGTTGGGAGCGAATCTCGCCGCTAGATTCGGAGACATAGGGCTTAGAATTGCATGTTGACGGTGATGTTCTAGACGCCTGAACGGGTGTTCCTCTGATGAGAGAATGACTGCTCCACAGTTTTCCTGAAAGTATTATTTGTTCGATTAAGTAAAAGTAATGCTATAATTATTAATACAAAGATCGAAACGAACATTAAGAAAAAAATCCTTTGGTCTGGCTGGATTCGAACTAACGTCTTATTTCGTTTCTATGTACTTGATGCAGAGCTTTGTTTTTGGTTTTTAACGACTTGTTTGCCGTAGCGCCAACTGTGAGAAATATTTTTTTTCACTCAGCTAGCTACCTTTACAGCTATCAGCAGCTGACAACAGATGTCTCTTTAATAAATTATTAATCTCCCTAATCTGGGCGTAGCGTTTGGTACGGTTTGCTGGAAGACGTTTTTCTTACTGTGTGATCTTTGTATTAATAATTATAACAAATTAGAGACGCAATTTCACAAATATAATTAAATATCATAGTGGTCAAACGTTGTGGCATACAATAAAAACTTAAAAATTACAAAATCAATGTTGTCAAATCAGTAAGATAATAATACTAGCTCATTTTAACAAAGGTTGGCAAACATTATGTTGTCGTGTACGAGCCACTGTTATTCCTAGCACAGTGTCATGACGGTCAATCTAAACCAACCTATGATATTTATGTTGACCTATTCTTTGACGTCTTTGATTTTTTCCCGGAATACCTTTTAACTTAAAGAATACTAACCCAAGTACAATGATAATGCGTGATATCTCTGATGTGTTGACAAGCGGAGTTGTTGCAGGGATTGTGCCGGGTGTACGTCACAAAGTAAGCATCTGTTACTTGATTCTGCTGCTCGTGCTCCATTACGTGTTTTGTCATTGTATTATGGCAACTGAAAGCAGGAAAAAGAACTTTGTTTAATAGTTATAATAATTATAAAACGAAACTATGTTCTGTTGAAACATAGCTTTTGCAAGAAAAACACTTGCACTGTAAATCCTTGCAGTTGCGTTTCTATCCGTGGGATATTAAACACTCTCCGCCAGCTTTACCGCTGGAATAAATAAACAGCCAAACGTATTAAGAACTTAATAAATACTGCACTTAACTCACCTATGAGCCATCTTACATCCATCAGCGAGGCAGTGGTAGTGCTTGTTGAAGGCACTGCATTTGTTGCATTTATCTTCAGCCTCTTTGCCCCCATTGAAAGTTTCTATATATTTGCGAGATACTTCCTCCACTAATACTGGATTCTGAATCAAGAAATGTTTGTTATTGAATAAATTTTAATTAGTAACATCTATGGTCCACGTGCTGATCGACGGAATGTTAATGATGGGTAGTATGTGATGAAACGCTATTCAAAAAGGTGAAATATAATTTTACGTAACTAATTATATTAAATTAGCTACACAACTTCCGAAATAACTCGTACTAATAATGTCTTCATTCTAACAATCTATGCTTCTAATAGTAGTGTCGAGTCGGAAGCGCGACAAATTGTCCCATCGAGTTTTTTATTCTCCGTAAAATTTTTGATATCATACTTAACACCTTAATTGGCCGTATCATTCTTCATAACTGCATACGGTATTTTAAGACGTAATGTATTAGATATGGTACTTAGAGATGCGGGCATAAGTGTAATTAAGAAATTAGAAACATTGACGAAATGTGATTTTTATGGTGTTTACTTTAGACATGGATCAATTTCTTTTTATAAAAAATGTCTTAAAACACAAATTTAAAAACAGAAGAGAAAAGGTACATTGTAGACACAAAAAAACCAGGTATAGAAATGATACTTACAAAAGGGTAAGAGAAGTCCCCATCGAGCATAGAGTTGGAGACATCGTCGTCGGTGTGAAGGTTGCTCGGTGAGTACATGGTTAAGTCAGCCCCTTGTTGAAGCAGAGCAGATTGAATCACTGACGTTGGTAAGCTGCGAAACGGAGATTGGCATAAAATTAAGACGACAAATAGCTGACAAAAAAACAAATAAAAACAAGATTGATGTTACTAAAGTTCATGATAAAGATAGTGATGACATGTATGGTGATAGACAACCATATCCTAGATCCATCGAGTATATAACCAGAAATAGAGACGAAATAAGGGCTACATATTCCTGGTTACACATTAGCGATACAGCTCTTATATATATCAACTCCCGTTTGCACTGAAATATAGACAGGCCAACTACTGACCTGTGCGTACGTCTCCGTATGTTCCAAAAAATATTCTGTATTTATTGTAATAAAGATTATTATCTTTAACAATGCCGTGCTGTTCTATTCGGTGGTGTGGGAAAAACAGCAAAACATCTAATTACAAAACAAACGGAATCACATTTCATCGGTAATTAAATATTATATGTAATTTTGCAATTTTCGTACATTATAGCAAAGCTCAAGTTAACTGGTCGATTTGAAGTGAAACAGTTGACGACACCCATTGACGACACCCGTCAATTGTTTCGAACTCGGGCTAGCCAATCGGAGCGCAGTTGTCACAGTAATGATATGGCAGAATAGTTTTCAAACAAATTAAATGACATTTCGTCTCTATTTCTGGTTATATACTCGATGCCTAGATCTTACCGTAATGAAGACACCAATAAAATTTCTATAATGACTTTTGAATTTTGAACTGGATGGACGGATGACCTGGTAAGGGTGGCGGGTAACCGATGGATACACGTTGCATCTGACCGGCTAGTCTGGCAATCTTTGGGGGAGGACTATGTTCAGCAGTGGACGTCTTCTGGCTGACATATGAATGACTTTTGAATTAAGTTGTATAGGACAAAAAAATTATAACATACGTACCCGAAAGTCATCTCCTGTTCTTTTCGCTCATGTTTCCTCTTATGAGTGAATATTTGACTACTAGAATGCAGCACATAGTTGCAATGCGGTCTGATGCAGTGGATGTGGTTGCACGTGCGGCTGAATCTGCAGTCGCGGTACGGACAGGCTTCGTTCTTCATATACTTCTTGAATCCGTCTTTGGAGAGAGCCTCATCTTTTATGTGATAGGTTTTGTGTTTTTCTGTGGGAAATTTACAATTTGTAATAAAATGCCAAACTCCGAGATAGAATTTATAGAAGAATAACGTGCTAAAGCGCTAAAACACCGGTTATAAAAGCAGAACTCAATTATAAAGATAAAACTTTTTAAGAGGATTTGATCGAAAATGGCTGACACGTCTCACTTCACCCCCCTCCGTGAAACTCTTAGAACAATAAATGCTTACAAAACTAACGAAAAAACTCAAACCGGGATTCAAACCCACGACCTAATGCTTGAGAGGCGGCAGATCAAACCGTTAGGCTGCCACGGCTGTTGTGAAATTTACCATTAGTTTTGGGTGAAGGAAAACGTCGTGATGAAACCTGCACGTCGACAAAGGTTCGGTGTCCAGCAGTGGGACATATAAATGGGTTGATGATGATATTAAAAAATCAATCCCCGTTAGTCAAAATCGCCAAAACGACAATTTTAATCTCTCCTATCTTTGGCCCAAAAATACCCAGTTCTATACTTACCCATATCTGCCTTATTTTTAAAAGTATAAGTGCATCCGGGCCTACGGCAATGGAAGTGCGTAGTCCGTTGTCCAGCAAACACGCAGTGTGGTGCAGAGCAGCTTTCGGTTGCCCTGAACCGCTGGAACCCTTCCTGCAGGATCGCAGAGTCCTTGCGGTGATAGTTTGCATGCATTTGCACGTCTGACGTTGATATGTACACCTGAAACATTGGAGATAGTTATAATTGAATACATCCAATCAATACAAGTGCCAGTCAAAAACGTTGCTTTCCTACTATCTTCTTTTTCAATATTAAAGTGAGTATCGAACAGTAAACTAAACAGTGAATTCCTTGAATTCCTCCTCAGTGTGCTTGATTCTCTTAGTAAGATTCATAAGGTATTGAAAAACACGCACACACTCCACAGTGCATTTTATGTCATCAATATGTTCTGCCAAATTGTTGAGTAAATGAAAGACCTACATTTCTATATTTGTCTCTTTCTCTCTTCATTGTCTCTCTACCCGTTACTTTAATTAATCTTACCTTATCACATCCGTCCTGGATGCAGTGGTAATGAGTCTGGCTCCTGTTGTGTGGACAGTCAGAGAATCTCTCGGAGCAGTCGTCCAAGGGAGAGTATCGCATGAAGCCGTGGGCTAAAGATTCGTCGCGTTTCTTGTGCCACTGTAAGGAAAAAATATACATTCAATACGGGTATATGAACGACAATAGACTAACGTGGTAGAGAAGACACGTGTCTAATGGGCCGTATTTGGGTAGATAATGAACGAATGTGGTCCCAAAATGAATTTCAAAAGGCGTAGTTACTTTTAGACTCCGAAATATAGGCGTTAGTTGTATTACCACTCGTTTTTTCTGTTTTCAGCCGAGGAAATTAGTTCTTTCTAATTTTACCACGTGCTGAGGTCAAAAAGTCTCAGCAAAATTTTAGTCTACATATGCTCAAATGAATCGTTACGTTAATGAGTTTAAAATGTTGGTCACCAGCGATAATAGATTTTAGTTCTTCTTAAGACTGTTAGAGATAAAGATAAAGATAAAGATCGATTTATTTGCGTGTTTATAGGCGTTGTACAATTTGCCCTATCTACTAAATAAATATTGCGGTCTCCATCAAGGCCAGAGGTTCTATACTTATAAGACGATTGTCCATAATAACTACATGTACTCTATTTACTGCACTAAAATATCCATTTCTCCATCCTGAATCAAATGTTGCCTGTTCTTAATTGTAACTGGTTAATGCTAAATAATAATATATTTACAAGGCTATACTTGACTGTAAATTTGTATAGGCTATAAGAACATGCACAAGGTGCCTTATTTCATTACATTTAATTCAAGAAAATATGTATGACAGTTTTTGCGGCTTATTTCTTAATCCTGTTAGTGAAGTTCGATGACCAAGTTCAATGTCTTTTATGGTATATTAAATTACATGCCCAATTTTTTGTCATTTCTATAAGTATTCGGCGTATGCTAGTCGGTCGCGGGCTAGAATTCATGACTTGAGCTGTATTAGCATTATGTTTGATTTCCAGTGGATTCAAACATAATGCCATTGTCAGTACATACAGGTACCTCATCGTAGTTACCACCCGCATTAACCAGCACACAGGCTATTCCAAAAGAACGTAACAAAATTGTACTGTACATATGTGCATTAGTTTTCGAGATAAGTCGAAGGAGCTAGCTATACTTTATTGCAGTGATACTACTATTCACGTCTCATGTGACTTAACTTTAACTTAACACTTTAACAGCGTGTCTCAACTTTGCTTGATTCTTCTAAAAATCTTTTATGTTACCTGAATTTTATTTTACCGTGCTTGTCTTGTGAAATTTCATTCGACTTAAAATTCGACGAGCTCTTTCTCTGAACTCTTGTAAGCAACAGATCACAACTTATCTTCTTGCGCAAAGTTCATTCACTCTTTAAGTATTTCTATCTTTGATTGTTTGAAGTTCTCCATTCATTCTTTATAATCTGTTTATTTACTATTGATGTAATATATGATTACGTCTATATTGTGGGTATGTATTTTTTATCTCGCTTTACAAGTACATGAATTTGTATTACCTACCTGTATTTGTAGCTGTATTTGTCAGTTTTTTTATATGTTCCATGTAGCAATCGTTGTGGTTATTGAAATCATGTACATTTTTAAAGGAAATTTGTGAATAATTTGGGTTTGTATTCGTACAAGTATCCCATAGAAAGTACGCTTTTGCCCAAATTGCAGGCATTGTGCAGTTCTATGTGGCAAAGTTTTTTTGGGAAAAAGTTTTTCAAATATCTTTTTTATTCTAGTATTACAACTATTTCAAATACATCATACCTTGAAGTGTCTGATCATTTCCTCCTTCTTGCAAAAGACCCTGGCGGTGCAGTCCATGCAGTGGAAGTGCTCCCGGTACCCGAGGTCTTTGCAGTACGACGAACCACATTCTAGTGTTGAGCTGTACCTGTTACAAAATGAATAACGTGTTATTAAGATGTATTAAGTCTACACTTTGTAGAGTTTCTTATTAGAGTTCAATAAGGTGAGCTTTACGTATACTACTTTATCCACCCGAGTTCTTAGTGATTTGTCGTTGTTGTTCTATATATATTTATTATCTTTGGATGACGCTTTTTCATACAGTCATCTTCAGTTTTAACCTAATGTGTTCTTGTTTGAAATATATGGGTCAGGAAAGGAGAATTTTCCATAGGCGCTGCCTAAGTATAATAATAATAATAAATTTTCTCACTTTGTGTCAACCCATGCATATCTGCTCATGATAGCATAAGTACCTACATATTGTGAGGAATTTATTGTAATATTATGCCTATATCGTGCCTCACAGGACTAACGGACATAACATAGGGACGAAATTAATTTAAAAACATGAAATTCCCAATTGACCTAAGTAAATAAAGGGGACGAAATATGGTGTGATTCTGTTTGTAACTAAACACCTCACTAAGATCTATATTCCCTCCATTGTATAACAATGAAAATATTTTTAATAACCTCTCTCGAGATCCAACGAGCGTAAAATAAGGTGTCAATTAGAGTTAACCGCGTTAATTACCTTTTAACGTATCTGGAGTAATCTAGAGTAGTTTGTAGGGAGTTTTTGTTGCTCAAATGGTTTAACGCTGACAAGAGGCCTGGAACAAAGAAAACATAGATTGAGTACATAAAATATAAACATAAAACACACGAGACTTTAGATGCCCAACTTTGCGATACGAGTGTTTTTGTAAACAGAGAAAAGGATAAATACTAGGGGACAAGAGGTAATTAATATCTTCCTTGTGAATCTTTTTAGAAATATAGATGACGAAGTTTTCTTCTACGGCAACAATCTGTCCATTAAAATAGGTATAACAATAAATGACACCTATGTGTGACATCTAGTGAGCTTCAGTTAGTGGTGGGAGTCATGATAAAAATCAATATGCAATTTAATTTTCTTTTTTTAATTTAAATTTCGAGTGTCACCGAACCGAATATTCTACTACAATAATATAACACGTAACATTTTCTACATTTACCAGGCCGGGAATTGAACCTGGGACCTCAGAGATGACGACAAAGTCGACGGAGGTTTCCGTGTATCGCAGTCTAATTAGAAACCCAACCGTAAAATAACCTAAGTAGAAAATTCAATATTTCCGTTGAAAAAAATATTCTAATCATTAAGGCCGAACATAACAAAAACACTATGCTAATAAGTGAGGAAACAACAAAGTAACGATACGTTTTCCGTCAAAAGTTATTCTTTTGTTTGGCCCCGAATCACCATCATGCATCATGTTGGGCGAACAATGTGGCTCACTAAAGATATTTTGGATTCCCAGAGATCAACCCATGTACTATGGGAAGATTTTTTTATACCAATTCAATTTTTTCACCGTGCGATAGATAAATGTGTGGTGGGCGGAGAATGTAATCATACGTCAAAATTGCTTTTATCACATGAAAATCATAAAAATAATACGAACTAAATGGAACAAATTATGTATTATTATGTGACCTTTTTCCTGAAAAGTTGCCGAGTGAAGTTTGCAGATACGGCCTTATTACACCTATTATACCTTGGTGTAATAAGGCCACATGTGCACACATAATATACATATAGGCTAAAAACCAGGCGGACAAAATATGATCACGTGAAAAATTCTGACAATAATGTCATTGTCGAATTGGCTTGTGATAGCTATATTAAATATAGGGGTAGTGAAAGCCCGCAAACCACTTGGTGCTTGAATGTTTTCTTCTTAAACTCTGGAATGGATAAAGATAACAGACAAAAATCAATTTATACCTACAGTTGTAAAGTAACTGCTAATTACACAAGACAAATAGAACAAAATACAATACACTAATAGAGGGGGGCTTGGTGTTTCTCTGATGGACCGTCAATGAAGTCTTGCGTCAGAGAACTAAAGTGACAAACGTAGCATAAGCTTAAGTGGCAGTGGGCCAGACATGATTGCAGCTGATGGGCGGCGGAGCTGACCTGTTCTAGAGTGGTGACCATGTCAAGGACGCCCTCTGGCAAGATGGACGGACAATCTGAGAAAAGTGGCCGGCAGCGGTTGGACGCGGGCGGCACGAGGCCTGGGGAGGTGGCGTGCTCAAGAGGAGGCTTATGTCCAGCAGTGGATGTATTTATGCTGATTATGAATTTAGAGGGAGGTATTGTGCACTGTACACAAGTGAATATATGAATTCTTCCAAAATACACATCAATGAAGTAAATGGCACTGCATGCTTGAAATAGCCGACCTCGGGCAAAAACGCACTAAGAAGTATATTTCGGAGTTCCTATTTAAGCCAGCCATTAGAAGAAGAAACCTCTGCTGGTCATAGACACGCACAAAAAGTAAGGCTCCTAACTAGCATTATAAACGTAACTAACACCATATTATCGGAATGTTACACATAATAATTACTCCAAATAATGACCTGCAATTTCCACTTTCACCCGTTCATGACTATCCCCTTAAGCAATACGATCATTTCATTTGCGCTGAGTTTTTTAGTTCAGTACAGTCAGCGGCGTGAACTTTTATATTTATTCATTTAACCAGATTAATAGTGTATTGGATGACGGTTGGTGGTCAAGTATAGCCAAGTTACGACTATCCTATATATACATACTATTTAGTATCAGTAGAGCTCCTTGTGCAAGAGTTCGTCCAGAGAAGTTTTGCCACCTTACCTATTTCTGTCGCCAAGCAGCAATGTGAGCATTACTGCGTTCCGGTTTCAAAGGGTAAGGGTTCTAGTGAAATTACAGACACATGGGACTTGTCAACTAATGTCTCAGGGTGTCGGGCGCAGTGACAGTGCAACTCAGATCTTAGTGGTTTAAAGTTCTGAGTGGTACTGCAACTGTTAAGGACAGGCGTGTCGCTTACCACCGAGCGCACGACTTGTTCGTTCCGTCATAGTATTATAAAAATAACCCCGAACAGTGGAAATTTGGTAGTGGACTTTAGAGTCAACGGCTTAGCGGTAGCAACCGTTAGTTGTGCAAAGCACAACGGGAAGTGAACGTGCTTACAACTCCTTCATCCAATTTAGTACTAATCAGTAATGTGCAGACATTACACGATTCAAAGATTAGTGGTTCAATGATCTTTTAAAAGTGAATGAAAATCTTCTGATAAAAAAAGAATAAAAAAGATAGGAAGTTCCCACCCTAATGGATTGGTGTGATGAATTACGACCTAAATTGTCATAGAGAAGATCGATGTAAAGCAATGAGACGCAATGAAACAGACACGAGATGAAAAAGATATAAATTAGGCTATTGGTAGCAATCACGTAGCAATATTTTAAGTTACAAATTGCAGTGTGTATGTTACGTGAGGCGCACTATAAGTTTCCGAAATGAATAAGAAAAAAATACTATAAATGGTCAGAAATGAATTTATTGTTTCTCAAAAGATTCTCTGATAGCGTTAATGTACTTTTTCATACGAATGAACCGATTTTGAAAACATTTATGCCACTCCTCCGTGACAATTTCTGAAACATATTTTTCATACTAGTCAATGAAAGGTAATGAAAACGTTGACCGCGTGACTGGTTCTTAATTTTTGGAAATAAATAAAAGTCACAAGGTGCCAGGTCGTGAGTGTAAGCGGGATGGCTCATAAGTTCAACGTTGTTCACCTTCAAAAATTCATTTGTCTGTCTGGCCGTGTGAGATTTGGCATTATCGTGGTGTAAGATGATACGGTGTTTACGGTTATTTTTAAGGAGTTTGTCAATAACTTCCGGCAAACAAATGGTCGTGTACCAATCACTATTCACGGTACAACGATTCTCCAAAGCAACAGTAGCCACGTGTCCAGTTTTATTAAAAAAAGAAGCAATCATCCGCTTAGAGGCAGTTTGCACGCGCGCCACTTTGGTTAGTTTCGGCTCATCTCGAAAGACCCATACGCTAGATTGCTGCTTTGTTTTGGGATCGTAACTATAAGTCCATGTTTTGTCACCTGTTACTGTATCCCATATCAAATTTGACGCCCCTTCGTTGAATCTGGTAAGCATGGCATTGCACCAAGTGGCGCGATCCGTTTTTTGAGCCTCAGTCAAATTGTGTGGGATCCACCGAGAGCACAGCTTTTTCGCACCCAAATGTTTGTGTAGTATTGATTGTATTTGACTCATGCCTATGCCTTAAGATGCCCGAATCTCATGGTATGTCACATGCCTGTCTGTTTTGATCATACGGCGCACAGCATCGATGTTTTTGTTGTTCACAGCAGTGGACGGGCGATCATCATGAAATTCGTCACCGAGATTCACACGACCGCGTTTGAATTCTGCAAACCAGCTATAAATAGTTGTCTTGCATGGTGCTTCATCGCCTAAAGCAGTTTGAAGCGAAGCGAAGCTCCGCTGAGCTGTTATATTACACTTAAAGTCGTAGAAAATCATACTACGAAAATTTCCACGAGTTAACTCCATGGTGATGTAGACAACCAATTTCTAAAATGGACGCCACAATGTAAAAACAAGTGACAGTCAGATGAAACAAACTGTATCATACAGGAAAAGAGTTCCATTTTCAAATGTTGTAATTACTTTGTAAATATTGTTTATGTGCGAGTATGTGGCCAGTTCAGGAAACTTATAGTGCGCCCTACGTATTCAAAATTCATTACAATATAATAAGAATTACATTGTTTGATTTTAATAATTATAACTTTTTCACAGGAAAAAGAAACGGATATCAAAAGTTTGTGGAATCCATATATTTGCCAAGTATTATTGTAAACAGTTAACGGAAAGTGGGTGAAGTCCAATAAACTGGATTCATTCTTTAACTTACCAACCTTGAAGGTGATTTGATTGATGTTTGAATGAAACCACTACTAAAGTATCCTCTTTCCAACAAAAAAAAAAATATCGAAATCGGTTGACAAATATCAAAGTAGTCGCGTAACATACACACAAAGAAAAATATAGTCGAAATGACCTCCTTTTTTACTTTCGATTAAATATTTTATTGCATTTACTACACAAATAACAAACCTTAAGCGCCCAGTTACACGAGGCGAAAGATTTAGCGCGGCCGCCGCGCGGCGACCGCCCCGGTACTCCCCAATCATGTAAATTAATAGCGAATCTGAATTCTATTTACTAGGCAACAAGATATAAATTCCTCTGATTAATACAACCGCGCGGTCGCCATGCGGGCCGCCGCGTAGACCAAATTCGATATAGGCTCGCCCGCGTGCCCGGGACGCTCATTTATGTTAAAACGTAAAAGCTAAACAAATAGAACGCCCTATTTTGCGATAACAGTTAGACGCCCGCGGTCAAATGACTTACGTACCGACCACCAACCCAAAAAAGTATTTTACTGGGGACATATAAATAGATAGATGACAAGTCAAATGCTGTTTTGGATGTACGAATGAGCAACGCGACGACTGCTAAACCGATTCCTCTTTTTTATTTATTTACGATTGTTAGAAACACAAACCAAACACACAGGTGAAGATATTATGTAGTGTTAAAGCACTAGAGACAATGCAAATTTGTATAGAGCTCCTTGTCGTCTAGGAAAGTACTGCCATATTAACTTATTTCTACCGCCAAATGATAATATGAGCATTATTGCGTCCCGATTTTGAAATACAGG